AGAAAGAGGACATCGATCTGTTTTCCACCTATTGTTGCTTTCATTCATTGGTTGATTGTTGCATGTGCTCCGACTAGGAATCAAACCCGCAACCTCGGTGCATCAGGAGGCGCTGCCCCACCAGGTCGCAGTCACTTTTGTGTAACAAACATCATTTTACAACCTGTGTCCTTTTGTGCGCGTGCGTTTGCATGGCCGGAGACGTTCTGAAGGATTCCAGGCACTGCCCGGGGCTGGCCTTGGACCTCGAGTCGCGGGGACGCGGTGAGGGCAGAGGAGGCCAGTCGCCGAGACGCCGCCGCGCGACAGGCGGGCTGGGAGGAAGGGCCTGCTACGCGCTGCTCCCACCAGCCAGGGCAGGGCAGAGCCGGCCGGCGAAGGCCGCGCCTCTCACTGCTCGCCGCTGGCCGGTCCGGCAGCGTGCGGCCGGCCCATCACCCCGTCCCCGGTTCAGGCCCAGGCCCTGAGGCTCAGCCGGGCGGGGGCGGGGGGCGGCGGGGGGAAGCCGGCTCGTCTCAGGGCTCGCAGCGCAGAACTGGGGGTCTTCCCGGCCTCTCCTGCCTTCCAATGCCAGCCGCCGGAGGGGGCGTCCCTGCCCCCAGCCTCGGTCCCAGGCGCCGCGTCCCTGCGGACAGCGAGGTGGGTGTCAGGCTGCGGGTGACGCAGGAACTGCCACTCCCGGGCGGCCTCCGGTTCAGCTGGTTCTGTGAGCGGCAGGAGCGAAGTCCCCGCGACCCCGCCGGTCGCCTCGGGGCGAGGCCTGTGCAAGGGCGGGGCCCCCGGCGGGAGGACAGCGGCTCTGGCCGCAGCCCCGACAGCGGGCGCGCGCTCAGCAGGGTTCTGGGCTCGGAGGCCTCGCAGTCGGTGGCCCCACACGTCCCCACTGAGCGGTGGGGCCCGGCCTCTGAGCCTGGGGTCGGCGCCAGGTGTCGGGGCGTGAGGAGGAAGCGCCAGCCCCAGGGGCACCCCGCCCGAGGTGAGCCCCGCCGGGGCGGACATCCGCCTCCCTCCCCGCCCTGCCACCCACCCCCGGCCTCTGTGTCCATTCACCAAACCCCCGGGGCGACCCCCGCCGCACCAGGCGCGCCTCGCGAGTGGGAACAGAGGCCCCCACACCTGCCCCGCAGGGCATGTGCGCCCCCGGCTCCGCAGGGGTGAGTGGGGAAAGGCCGAGGAGCCGGAGCCGGCGGGAGGGGCAGCCGGGGCTAGGCCCTGCGCGGGGAGGCTGGGCGGCCGGACTCCAGGGCCCGCATCAGCGAGGCCCCCCGCACGGAGTCCTAAAGGCCAGTTTCGGGAGACGGTCCTCTGAGTTCTGCCAGGGGCTGTTAGACCGGCAATGACGACGGCGGGTCTAATGATGAAGCCGGCTGCGGAGAGCCCCCTACGCCCACCTGAGCGTTGTCTCAGGCCTCACAGCCCGCAGGTGGGGGCCGTTACATTAACACAGGGCCTGGGGCGGGCGGGCGGGGGCGGGGGAGTGGGAGGGTCCGTCGTCAGGTGGGCACTCCGGTGAGGCGGCGCTCTGCCCACCGCGGTGTCCCAGCTGGAGAAGGGCCCGGAAGACCCTGAGCCCCGGGCTCCCTCCCACGCGCGGTGGGCAGCCCTGGGGGTGGGGCCGGAGCAGGCAGGAGGTGGGTGCCCACCAGGTCCCCGAGCCGGCTGCTTCAGGGGGACACAGTGAGACCCACAGGATGGAGGGGGTGGCCCGAGAGGCAGGACCGTCCTCCCTCTGCCTCCCCCAGGCCTCCCCTGTCCATGCCCCCCGCCGAGCAGTTGCGCTTGGCAGCCTGGGGACATTTCTGTGTCAGGGGCAGTCCCCAGGCTGCTGCTGACCTCACAGGCTTGGACAAGCCCTGCTCCGCCACTGACCCCGGCGCCCCGTGTCTCCGGCCCCATGTGGGCCTCGGTCTCCATGCTGCCCGCACGGCGGGGCGAGGGCAGGGCTGTGTGGGGAGCAGTGGACACGTGGAGGTCGCTGGGGTTGGTGCTCCTCACGAGGTGTCCTCGGGAAGTTGGCACCAGCCCAGGGTAGAAGGAGGCACCTGCTGCACTGAGGGAAGGCAGTGCCGGGTGTGCTGGCCCCGGGGGTGGGGTGGGGTGGGGGTGCTGCTGAGCCTGGGGTCCTGGGCTCAGAAGCCACCCTGCCATTTACCAGCGGTTTCTCTGCTGTCCTGGGCTGCCTCCGTTGGCTCTTCTGAAAAAAAGGGGCCCAGTTCTGTCCCTACTTGCGGGGTCCTGGTGGGTTGGTCTGCACAGCGCTGTGCCTGCCCAGCAGGCTCGAGTGTTTGCATTTAAGCTTCAGGGTCCTCCCCAAAGGCCCCTCCACTCTGGGCAGTGCCCGTCCCCCCCGGCCCCCGCTTCCTGGTCCAGCCTCCACATTGTCACTCCTTACAGGCAGCAAGCGATTCCCTCCAGTCTGCAGGCTCCCCTGGGAGGCGAACTCTGTATCAGGGACCCCTTTGTCCGTGAGGCAGCGAGGAGGAGCCACGGAAGGCTTCTGAGCTAGAAGGGGATGCGAGGACGGGAGGCTGGCTGCTGGCGGCTGGGGTGGGGGCGAGGGCGCAGCGCAGGGGCAGGGCGCACCGCCGGTGCTGCCGCCTCGACAGGCACCTCGTCGCCGTCCCTCCATGCCCGCCCGCTGCCATCAGCTACCATCTACCAGTGAAGCTGCTGGGCCCCTGCAGGCAACGAGCCCTGGGCACCTGCAGGCTGTGCCCCCGACTCCGCAGACGCCCCACAGAGACCTGCGGCCGAGGGTCTCCGTCCATCGGTCTTGCAGACAGGGGGCCGGGGCTACAGTCTGACCCCGTCGGTCCAGCCCCTCCCCCAGCCTGGGGAGCATTCCTCAGGGGCAGCCGCTGGGCACTGCTGCGGGCCTGCGCTTGGATGCTGGGGACATTCCTGGCCACAGCGGGGCGGTCCCTGCAAGGACAGGCGGGGGGTTATGAGGGAAGGGCTTGCAGCAGGGTGCACAGGGCACACTGGAGAGGCGCCTGCCTGACCTGCCCTCCCTCCTCCCCGCCACCCTCACGCCTCCTTCCTTCTCACACGTACCTAGGGGGCATGTCCTTTGCATCTGAGCCTGGCAGGGTGCTGGCTCCTGCCCCTGACCTTCGAGGTCCTCCAGGTTGTCAGCTAAGAGGTTGAGGAGGAAGAGAAACACCCTGAGGAAGAGTCGTCGCCTGCAGAGGCAGGTGGCAGGAAACCTCAGGAACCACTGCCCAGGCCTCCGTGGCTGTGGGACCAGCAGCAGGCAAGGCCCAGCGCGGCACGAGCTCCCACTGGTGTCCGGGCCCCGCCCCCGCCCCCGCCCCCGCCCCCAGGCGCGCTCCGGCCTGCACGTCCTTTGCCCTTCTGGCCCAGCAGTGCCCTGGCTTTCCCTGCCTGGAAAGCGGCCCGAGCCTCAGCCATGCTGTCACCGCTGCTGGGAGCGCCCCCGTGCGCCCCATCTACAAGGCGGGCCCCCCGCCGCCATCACGCACGTGTCCGCTCGCTTGGCAGCCCTTGCCTTTCTCTGAAATTCTCTCTGTCCTGCGCAGGGGTCTGCGGGCCGTCCCCAGGCCACAGTGGACGCTCCGTGTCCGTCTCGGCTGCTGCTCCGGCCTCGGCACCTAGAGTCGTGCCGACATGCAGCAGGCGTCCAGGAGCTTTGGGTTGGTTGAATGAACAAATCTACATCGTTACTTAATAGCGACATGAACTCTCGTATTATGGATGCGTAGCTATTTCTCTGTGTGTTCACTGATGGGCATTTGGGTTTTCGTTATTTAATTGCGAGTAGCCCAGCAATGACTATCGCTGCACACATGGCCAGAGGTGCCAGAGCCCCAGCAGGGCACAGGGAGGCAGACTGGTTGAGGACAGCGTGAAAAGGGGCTACTTATGGGGTGGGCGGGGGCGGGGGAAGGGAGCTCCTGGGGCTAGCAGGGCCTGGGGGCTGCGGCCGCCTCTGGGTCTTCCGGGGGCAGCAGGAGGGCCGCGGGCAGCACCTGGGGGCAGCCGCTCCGGAAGGGGGAATCCCGGGCAGGCTCACTGCCTCCCCCCCTCCCCCCGCACCGCCCCCCCCCCCCCCCCCCCGCCCATGGGCACAGCGACTTGGGGCACAAAGCAGTGGAGGGGGTGGACCTGGAGGTGTGTAGGCGCACGCCCCACCCTGTGCCCTCCCGCGTCACCCCATCCCATGGGAAACGTGTCCACACCCAGGCCACACGCTGTCCCGCCAGCTCCTGATGGGCGTGGGTGGTGACAGCCGGGCAGTGCGCAGGCCGGAAGCCTGAGACGTTGGGCCCAGGAGCTTCAGGTAAGGCGAGGGGCGGCGGGGGGCGGGCAGCGAGAGGGGAGCCCTGCGGCGAGCCGCCCACTTCCCGGCCCCGCCTTCATCCCACCCCGCCTCCTTCACGGGGCTGCGGCAGCATTTTTTTTTTAGCCCTGGTGGGATGACACGCACTTCTGTTCCTTTGGGACCCGAGTCCTTTCTGGGCCTTTGTCATTCATGGACTCCTTCCCTTCTCCCAACAGGAAAAACCATTGAGCATCACAGGGAACCCCTGGCTCCTCACACAGTTCCCCGACCACCCCCCTCCCCGTGTAGAGCTAATTCAAGCTCCCTCGGATGCCTGGGACCAGTGTCGCCGGCGCACAGGGCCCCAGAGCGAGCCTATGGGGAGGGGCCACCTCAGCTTTAATGTGTCAGAGGCACCGCTGTCTCCTCATGGAAGCCCTCCTTGCTAGCGCACAAGCCCTTTGCGGAAAGCGTTTACCTGCCTCTGGTCTAAAGGAAAAGACAAGAAATTCTCTCTCCTAGTTTTAGTATGAAACACCCTAAAGAACTTCTCCGATTGGCCTGGCTCAGGTCACACAATGGCACCCGATCAGGGGGACGGAGAGCGGACCAGCTGGTCCCTGGGGCCACGTCCACGCCCGTTGCAGCTCCCCTAGGACCCCCAGTCAGAGCGGAGTGGGAGCAGAGACCCCCAGGGTGTGGGGAGAGGGGGTAGGGAGTGCCAGGCGGACAAACACAGGGACGGTCCAGCAAAGGAGCAGCGACCTTTGTCCAGGGTACTTGTCGTAATGCGTATCCCAACACCAAACTGAAATTTCAAAGGACAACAGATGGGACTCAGACGAGGAGTCAGGCTGCCACAGGTAGCCCGTCAAAGGCGATACTTGGGAACCTGCCCCAGACCCGGAGGAGAGAGCGGCCCGGAACGTGGTTGAGCCGGCGCCCGGCACGGGGGTGCGTGCTTCCTCCACCTGGGGCCTGGCGCAGGCGCCCCTCCCAGCACTCCTCGCGGAGCGTAAGACATGGCCCTCCTCTGGGGGCACAGTGGCCTGCAGGTGGGCCCCCGCTGGGGAAGAAGGGCCCACGCGCTGCCGAGAGGCGGGGGCAGGAGTGAGCTGTCCTGTGGGGACCTGCCAGCCCCTAAGTGTTTGCCAGGGCCAGAGCTGTGAGTATGTTTCCTATGGACAGATGGGAGTCATGAAGACAGACATAAGCCACATGGACAGGTCACCTTAGGTCCTGTCCAATCATCCCTGTAGGAGGGCAGAGGTCCCCTGCAGCCAACAGGAAAATACCCGCCCAGGAAGGCAACACAGCACAGGAGCGGGAGCAGCAGGGGAGTGCCAAGGAGCCCCTGAATGTCCTCAGGAGGGGGATCAACTTACTCTCTGCCAGGCCAGAGGTGAGACTGCAGCCCCGCCAACGCCGTGCCCTCCACCCCGACAACGGGCCGCAGCGCCAGGGGGAGGGAGGAGGGCGTGCAGGCTGAGGGAGGCTTGTGGAAGGAAGGAGGGAGAAGCCGAGCACAGCCCTTCCCCGGTGCTCGCCTCAGGCCCTAAAGGGCCCAGCTGGGCCCCACGGGGAATTAAGGTTAAATCCAGTTCAGAGGTTTAAGTCTGCAGACCTGGATGTTCTCAGTTCTGAACTGAGCCATTCATTGCTGGCAGTCTGAAATCACCTGTGCCCAGTCCAAGGTGCTGGGGACAAGGTTAGGCTTAGCCTCCCTTGCTTGTTGCAAAGACCGGAAACCCACCGGAGCCAGCCCCAGCAGGAGGGTGCTGTTAAGGATGTTGCCAGGGACTGAGTGTTCATGCCCCCCAAACCCTTAGGCCGAAATCCTAACCCCCATGTGATTAGGAGGTGGGGCCTTTGGGAGGTCTTTGGGTCATGGGGGTGGAGACCTCATGAATGGAATCCGTCCCTTCTGAGGACAGAGCTCCCTCCTTCTCCCACCCGAAGACACAGCCTGACAGCCCTCGGTAAACAGGACTGACCCGGAACGTGATCACGCTGACACCCATCTCAGACCTCCAGCCTCCAAAACTGAGACACGTTTCCGCTTTCACCAGGCCACCCAGCCTCCGGCTCTGTTACGGAAGCCTGAAGTGACCAAGGCAGATGCAAGGAGCCTCATGGGTGCCTGAGGACACTGGGGTTCCCTGGTCTGGGGACCCAAGCCTGCACCCTTCACCAGTCGATCAGAGGGCCCCTTGTTTCTGAAACAGCAAGCCTAATGCATGACACGAGCTACCAACACGTGAACACTCACCAAGTCAGGCCTGTTTAAAAGTGCCCTACAGGTGAGAATTCACTTATCCCTCTGAGAAACTGAACGATGAGGTAGGTCCTATTGTTATACCATTACTTATACCCGAGGGAACGGAGGCACAGAGAGATTTCATTTCCATACTCACAGGTACCCGCTGCGCAGGGAGGTAAGGGAGACTACAAGTGGAGCTGGGTCTGATCTGGTCTAGGGGGCTACGCGAGGCTGCCCTGACCAGGCAGCACAGCATCGGATCTGGATTGAGCCAAGTGAGGGCAGCTGTGGAAGGGCATCCAGGGTGGAGGGCTGGCAAGTGCAAAGGCCTGGGGACAGGAGGGCACCGCTGGTTGGGGAGCAGCAAGGAAGCTGCTGGGACTGGAGGTGGAGCCTGAGGAGGGCGCGGATGTGGTAGAGAGCTGAGCCGGGCCAGGCTGAGCCTCCTGGGTCTGGAGATGAGAGGATGCACGGCCCAAATGGGGACATTGTTGGAAGGAAGGACGGTGGTGTACTCACACTGGGACAGAGACAAAAAATGGGGACCCTCCCAGACAAGTTCGGACATCAGCCTTTTCCTTGTTTTGTTTTTTCTTCTTTTTAGAGGTATTATACACATACAGTAAAGTGAACAGATATTTGGAGCACGGATGGATTAAGCTTTATTTTTGTACAGACACATGCAACAAGCTGGGTTTGTCTGATCAAGATGCAGAAGGTTCCTGCTTCCCCCGCCCAAGGCTCCCTCACGTCCAGTTCACGGTCCCCCTCCCCCAAGAAACCGCTCCTCTGATCTCTAACACCGAAGATTGTTTTTGCTGGTTTTCAAAAAATTAAGGTATATTATAAACAGTGATATGCTCCACTCTTAAGTGCACAGTTTGGAGACTGTTCCTTGCATGCGCTCCTGAGTAACCACCACCCAAATCAACTTCTGGCAGCCCCGGGCTCCCTCCTGCCCTTTTCCATCCGTACCTCCTCCATGGAGGCAGCCACTCTTCTGGTTCCTGTCTCCGTGGGTTAGTTTTGCTACATGCTCCTTTAGTTCTCCGCCAACCCTTTATCTGTGCCCGCACCTGCCCCCCGCTGCTGTCCTGCCCCAGCTGAAGTCCCTTCCCTTCCCCGGGTCAGGGTTCCCATAGCCCTGCTCCCGCCCTCACGCACCCCATGGCCTCGGTGGCCTCCCACGAGTCCCAGGCGGCTCCTCCTGTTCTGATGCCACGGGTTTGTTTGGGTGCGGATGTTCGTCACCCTCCTTCCCCGCCACCCAAAGGAGCCAACAACCTCAGCAGCGACTCGCTGGGCAAACCCAGGTTGGCGACAAACTGCCACCCTGAGTCATTTGTGTTTGAGGGAGGCCTAAGCTGGACAGTGGACCTGGAAGTGGGCATCTTCCCGCTGCGGTGGGCATCGCGAATGCACCAGGCGCTGGCCCGCCGGCTCTCCCGCAATCCCGCCCCGGGTATCCCGTCTGTCCGAGTCAAAGGTGGGCCCGCGTTTCTGAGAGCCCTGGTTAAAACCCGCCGCAGAGGCCCCCAGAGCTGCGACTGCAGGGCGGCCCCGAAGCCGCAGGCCGGTCGGGGCTGCTCGGAGCCTCACGCTCCCCTACGGACGCAGGGCGAGCGCCCGCTCGAGCCCCGCACTCGGAGGGCCGGTCCGCGAGGTACTTGCACACACCGCCCAGACATCCTCTGCGCAAGCGCCGGCGCCGCAATCTCGGCGGCGCACTGGCTCCCGGCTCGCTCCGCCCCGCCCCCCGCCTTCCCAGCCCCGCCCTTCGCCTTCCCAGCATCCCGACCTCCCTACGGCGAGCTGCGAGGTCCGATTCCTCCGGGAGCCAGGAGCCGGGACGCAGGGGCGGGGCGGCGCGCTGAGGTCAGCGCGGCGACGGCCGGCCCCTCCGTGGTTGGCTGCGCCCGCGCTGGCCGCGCCCTGGTTGGCTGCGGGCCGCGGGGCTGGGCCGCCGGGTCGGAGCTGGGGTCGGAGCTGGGGCGCCGGTCGGGCTCGCGCAGCGCTCGGGTTCGCGTCTCTCCTGGGCGGTGGCGGCGGAGAGGGCGCGGCTGCGGGCGGGGCTGAGGAGCGCAGGCGGGGCGGGCCGCGTCGGGCGGGGAGGGCGGTGGCGCCGAGGGGAGGAGACCGGCCCATGGACCCGCGGGGCCCGGCGCCCCAGACGCTGCGCCGCCGGGACCGAGCTCAAGATGTCTGCCTAGGCCGGGGCGCAACGACGCGGTCGGGGCGGCGACGAGGCGCTGCCAGGGCTCGCGGCTGCCGGGTCCCCGAGGGCTCGCCCTGACGGACTGGCCGAGCGGGCAGCGAGAAGCGGGCGCGTGGGGAGCGGGCCGTGCGGCACCATGTCGGCCAAGGTGCGGCTCAAGAAGCTGGAGCAGCTGCTCCTGGACGGGCCCTGGCGCAACGAGAGCGCCCTGAGCGTGGAGACGCTGCTCGACGTGCTCATCTGCCTGTACACTGAGTGCAGCCACTCGGCCCTGCGCCGCGACAAGTATGTGGCCGAGTTCCTCGAGTGGGGTAAGTGCGCGCGGGCCTGACCCTCGGTCCCCCGGCCGGGCCGGCCTCCTCCTCCGCGCCGCCCTCCTTCACGCTTCCTTCCACCCGCCGCCCCGTCCCTCTCCGGCCGCTGCGGTCTCTTCGCGGCGCTCGGTCCCTCCCTGCGCTCTTCGGCCTTCGCACATCCGCGTTCGGCCGTCCCGCCCCCTCATCCTGCCCCTCGGAGCCACATCCTTCGTCACCCGCCCCCCCCACCCCTGCCGGGCCATCGCCCCTGCAGCTTCCTAGACCCACCCTTCGAGTCTGGATATCATTTCCTGCAGCCCTGGCTGGGATATCCGCCCCCGCCCCCCGCCCCCCTCTCCGGGGTCCGGAATCAGCGGCCAGGGCCGCCCCGCACACGCTCCGCTGGCTTGCGGGGGCAGCCGCCCGTGCTTTCCCGGCTGCCTCCCGCGCCGCCCGTGGGCCCCCCAGCCGGGGCGCGTCTCCTAGGTGACAGCCGGTCTATGTCCCCTTCACTGTAGCACCGCCCAGGCAGTTTTAAGGTTAAAAGCCTTATTTTGAGTACACCGTGCAAGAGCAAATTGATTTTTTTTCTTTGTGACTGCGCCAGATCCTGGTGATATTTGGGGGTAGTTGGAATTGGCTGTACGTGGAAGTCGTTTAAAAACTTCCTTCCTCTGACCCTTCTGTGCCTCCTCCACTTCATTCAAGGGCCCAGGAGGCTGTGGCCGTCGATCAGTTGACCTGTAGTGCGTTATTAGGCGCAGGTTTGATTAAGCCACGTATGACCGCTAGAATCCGGAAGGCCGGGTGGGGCGCAAGCCCTTGGCCCCACCCTCCCCGAACGTGGGCTGCCGTTGGGACCCTCACCTGAAACCGGGGGCCACACCCATGAGAATCCTGCCCCCGGGTTTGCGTCATTGGGCTAGAACTGTGCAGCTGGAACCAGCAAGTTTAATCTTCGACCATAGAGCTGACATTTACTTGAGGAAACGAGCAAGTGGGTTCTGTGGCAAGGCCATCTCTCGGGGGGGACGGGGACTGGAAGTGGAGTTTTGTTTCCAGGTTAAAACCTCAGTGGCCGTATCCTGGAGAGGGCTTCTGATTCTTCTCTGAGTGTTGACATGGTGCCTGCGAGGGCAGTGGCGCAAGCCCAGCGCCCCCGGACGGCGCGATGCCTCGCTGCGCGGGGACTACCCCTGGCGCGGACCCGCGGTGCGGGCAGAAGGGGGCATTCGCGTGCTGGGGTCCTTTCCCAGTGACCTGACTGCAGCTGAAAAACTTACTTCAAAGTTGGTTTGAAAGCGAGGTCTTTGGGGCCTGTCGCTCTGAGCCCTTTGGGGGCTGTGCTGGCCGTTCCTTTCCGGGTGTTTGATCTTGGAATCCAGGTTCCGCAATCAGGCTCACCTCTGGCCCGGACTCTAAGTAAAAGTGTGACTGGAAGGAGGAAGCGGGGGCAGGCCCGCCGGTAAGGCGTGGGCCGCTGGCCTTTGGCCTGGGAGCGAGCCACGCAGGGCGGGCTGGTCCGCGGGCTGGGGCCCTGTCGCTGGGCGCTCCTGGCGCAGCCCTGCGCCGTTCTGGGGACGGCTAGGCGCTCTCTGCTGGGCGAGGCTCTTCCAGCTCGCGTGGGGTCTTGTGTTTAGGAGGTGTGACCTTTCCAAATCTAAACAGGAGCTGCCTGCGGTAAAGATAGAAGAAGTATTTCAAAATTGTGTTCTGGCTTTTTGGGAATTACAAAAATAAATACATTACATTATCCTAAGAACTTAATTTCCACAGAAGTGTGAACTTTAAACTACAAAGACTGGTTTTAAACTTTAGGTGGCATTTTATTTTATTTTTATTTTTTAACAGATTATATTTATTTCCAGAGAGAGGGGAAGGGAGAGAGGGAGAGAAACACCCATGTGTGGTTGCCTCTCCCGCACCCCCAGCAGGGAGGGGACCAACAACCCACCACCCAGGCCTGTGCCCTACACTGGGCATCGAGCTGGCCACCCCTCGGTCGGAGGCTGGCGCTCAGTCCACTGAGCCACACCAGCCGGGGCTCAGGGGGCATCTCAATGAAATACTGGCGCTTTGGAGGAGCAGCGTAGCACCCCTGTGTGCCAGCAGTGTGTCACCGCGGCGGCGGCGGTGGCCGTGTGCGGGCGCAGTCACTGCTCGCTGCGGCCCCAGGTGCCTGGCGACTGGCCGGAAGGCGGGGACTGGTCCTGCGAACAGAACGGTCTGGGAGGCATTTTCAGGGACCCTACCGTCTTCTGGTCAGGAAACATGGACGCAGGCTGTCAGTCTGCCGACGGTGGAGCCTCTGGAGTCACACTGTGCGGCACTTGAAACCTCGGGCGTGCCGAGTCGCGTCCCACAGAGGACCAGTCCCTCCCCACCTTCCAAACCTTGCTCCTTGTCTGATGACAGTTACGTGGAATTCTTGAAACTCAATGAAAAAAATAGCCCATTCGGCTCAGATTTTGAGACTTACTGGGAAACCTTTGGGGAGATCTGGAATGACTAGGTAATAAATTCTTTACGTTTTAAAAGAAGACTGTTTCTGGCTCTAGTTTTCCTATTTCCACAGTGGTTGCACAGGACAAGAGTCAGCCTGGCTTCATTGTAGGTTTGCATCTTTAATTTCCCCTTCATTGTGTTTATAATAGTTTGATTAGGTTCTATTAAACCACAGACCTTAATTAAAAGTTAGAAATACTCTGCTTTGTATGTGTATTTCTTTAAGCTTCTTTTAAAATGCAAATTTGATGCTGTTTGAAGGACACGCGAAACACTGAAATTTCAACAAGTGAACAAATAAGGACAACTAAAATGAGGTGAACTTGTTCTTTCATCTCTGTTACGTAAAAATACTTTTACACGGGTTAAGTACGTAACATGGCCTAAATATCACGGCCAGCGTGGCTCTGGATGGAGCCGCTGTTTGGCACTGGATGGGCCGCCCCGGCCCCCCTGGCCTGCAGCCGCGGCTGGGGGTCTGTGTGGCGGAGGCGCACCTCGCCAGCAGCCTGGCCTGGGCTTGCCGGTTCCCACCCCACGGTCTCTCCTCTCACCCAGACACACTTCCTCTGTGAGGAGCAGAGTTAATCTTCCAAGCCGCCTGCTTAATTTCCTCCTGTGCGCCCTTCCCGCGTCGTCAGTGCTGCGGTCCCTTCCTGGAGCTCCCCTCCCTCGCCGCGCATTCCTGCGGCTGGGGGCTCGCTCCTCCCAGGGTGCGCCGATGACTCCACCGAGCGAATGCGTTCACACTTCGCAGATGCTGCCGAGCATCTCAGGATGCGTTTTGATCTTCATGGTTCTTCCAGCTAGGATGTGGGTGTAACATGGGACACTTAAAAACAAAAAAAAAGATTCTATTCATTTATTTTTAGGGCGGGGGAAGGGAAGGAGAAAGAGAGGGAGAGAGACATCGATGTGTGAGAGAAACAGCGCTTGGTTGTCTCTTGCAGGCGCCCCGACTGGGGATGGAGCCCCCCACCCAGGCCTGTGTCCTGACCAGGAATCGAACTGGTGACCTTCCGCTTCCTGGGACAAGGCCCAACCAACTGCGCCACACTGGTCAGGACTTGGGAACACTTTTTTGAAATGACAAACTTTGAGAAACTGTTGTTTTGAATAATAAGATCTAAATTGTAGGGAAATAATTGGGATTGCATAGCAAGGATTAGGGTGACCTAATTTAGATTTCATTAATGGCTGTGTGAAATGCACAGGTGTGGAGCACATAGCATGGGATGGGCAGCTGAAGCGACCTAACGTCACCAGGCGGGCCTTCCCTTTTCTCTCCTGAAACCTCTCGCTGTCAGTTGGGCTTTAAAGCGAACACGGCAGTGTCTGTTGAACGCAGACCTTCACTGCGTAAAACGGGAGCTGACTGGAGCCGTTCTTCCCGCAGGTGCCGCGGTGTGAGGGGTGCGCGCCGCGGGCTGCTCTCCAGGCAAAACCCTCCAGTGCGCAGGTGCCCGGGGTGACACCCTCAGCTCCCGAGGGCTGGCCGGGAGTCCCCTTTGCCTTTGGTCCCGCCCTCTGCCGCAGCCGCAGGGTCCTCAGAGGCCCCGCCTGTCTGCTGACGCAGGTGCTGGTGAGCGGGCGAACAAAACAAGAGTGGTAGTTTCAAACTGTATTAAGTACGGCCAAACTGTTGAATGCTGTTGTTGGTAAGGAGCAAAGAGTATCTTTTCAGACTAATTAAGGATTTTGTGGGAAGAAACCAAAAAAGGATTTTTGAGCTTTTTTTATTTTTTTTAAATCAAAAGAGGATAAAGTAAAAGGAAATTTTGAAAGAAAAAAAACGCAACAATCCTGTATTCACATCACCCTAATCCCCGTAACACTATTTAGTCTCTGTCCTGAGTTTAAGTTTGAGTCTTAGATTCTTAGAATGTTCCAGAGTGACGGTATGTTAAAGTTACCTTTTCTTAATACAGTGTTTTCTATTGTAGTTTTTCCATGCCATTTACCCCCCATACCTCTTCCACCTTCACCCACGCCCCTGCCCCCACAATCTAAAGTTGTCTTCAGTGCATGTGAGCAGCTCACTGAGATGGAAGTGGACTGAGTCTCCGGCCATACCACCCTGAACATGCCCCACCTCGTCTGAAAATGGAGAGAGGAAAATATACTTCCTTAGATGTAAAATTACAAAAGTTCCGACAATGCGAAATACATTGAAATTATGTATGTAATTTTATGTAAAGATTTCTGTTTGATACTTATTGTTTGTGTTGTCAACACTAGGTGACTCTCCAACCAAGCCGTAGAGGACACAGTTACTTCCCTGTCTCAGGGAGGGTCTGTTTTCAACAGCATGAATTATTTTTTCTTTCCTTTGGCCTGGATGCCAGTGTGCAGTCGTGAGCGCGGCCCCGTGTGGAAAGGGAGCCCAGCCCCCCCCCCCCCCCCCGGTGCAGCCAGGCCCTCGTGGAGCCTGCCTGGTCCTGGTCCTGCCTGCCGCGTCCCTGAGCCTCCCTTGGCCCCCCCGAGACTCCTCTCCGCCGTCCGCACTGCGA